ATAACGTGTGTCCTCTTAGGGGCACACATAACTGTCCACGCTGCTGCATTCTGCACCAGTTAAAGCTTCTGGATACTCTTCAAGGGCAGCCGCACGTAAAGAGTATTAACAATACTCCATACGGGAGGTGACTAGGGCATGGGTAACTGTGAGCAGATCCAGGAATGGGTGCAACCAGCCAGAAGGGGATGGATCTAAGGAGCAGGTGGCTGAGCTCACAATCATAAGGACCTGTCCACTTCCTCAGGCCCAACAGGTTCAAACCATTCCCAGATAATAAGGCAAGATTGTGCCCCAGGCATCTCCACCGGTCCTCTACCAAAGCTGGAGTCTAACTGGGAATGAATTTGAGCGATTTTGTCCAACAGATGCTCTGGAAATTCTTCCTCCTAGCCTTGCAGGTGAATCTCCAGGTTCCCCTTGCTCAAAGGACTCAGATCACCCCAAACAAGGTGGCCGGATGGCAATCTGTGGACACAATAAGGGCAGAGAAGTACTGTCGCTTCGCTGCTCTTACTGCTGTAAGCTAGGCCTTAACAGTGGCTCTTACCCATGTTTGGTCAAGTTCATCCTTCATTGACTTCCACTGGTGCTCTAGATGTCTCTTCTCCCATTTCAGTTCCCTCAGCTCCTCTGTAAATCATGGACAGCAAAAGGATCCACAGGGAGGGAGAGGTCGCATGAGCGCAATCCAATCCAAGGCCACAGTCACCCTCTCATTCCAAGCGGTGATTAAGGCTTCTGTCAGACTGCGCAGCAGACCCTCAGGAACAACCCCCAGCTCCCTCTGGAACCTTGTGCATCCATCAGTCTTTGGAGGCAGACTGATCTAATAGGTCCTGCCTCTCTGCAGTAAGGGGCAGTGCCAGAGAATCTCATGGTTACCAGAGCATGATCCGACCATGACAAGGGAGTCACAGAGAGCTCCCCGAATTTCATATCACTTTCCACTGCTCCGACAGGAAAACCAGATCAGGTGTTTGACTACTGTCCTGTGTCAGGCTCTGGATGACCTGGGTTAGGCCTGTGGCTGACATGGAGGCCATGAACTTCTAAGCCACATCAGACCCTGCTCCCAAGGAAGGCAGACTGAAATCCCCCAGGACCATAAGCCCTTCCCATTTTGGGAAGAACTTATCTAATCTGCATTTCTCATTCCTATATACACACTGAAACAGAGTTATATGCTACATTTTCCTGAGCATTGCTAATTAGTTTGCAATTCAAAACTATACATAAAAATGTGGATTTTGGGTGAAGTAGCGAAAACATTAATCAGGAAAAGTGCTTTAAAAATGCATTACAGTGAGAAAAACTGATTGTAAAATTGATTGTAAAACTAGAGAAAAGTTAGTACAAATACCATACATTGAGAGAGCATTTTCATGTGACTTTTTTAAAAAATACAAAGTTACATAAATCAGGTTAAAACTAATTTAAAACTAAAAGCATATTAAAACATTTCAGAAATTGAGATCTGCTCATTTGTAATGTCTGGATAGGAGATTATCTGAAGGAACATATATATACCACTTGAATTGCATTTAACATAGGAAATACATAAATACAATGAATATTTAACAACAGCAAGTATTTCTTCATTCATTCATTCAGTTGGGGTGTTCATTAATGGTACATTTAGCATTAATGAATCACTACTTATCAAGACTGCAATCTTGTATGAACTTTCTTAGAAGTAAGCACCATTAAGTATTATGGAATTTAAAACTTTGGGCACTGTAAAAGGGTAAGTAAATGAATAGATCAGGGGAAGCAATAATGATTACTATTCACAAAGTCCATTCCAATATATAGTACTGTTAACTTTTCTGAACCTGAATCTAATTGCATCTATTTCTATACATTCCAAAGTATATAAATAGGGGGGAAACTGAAAAATCCTTTCATCAAAAGAAAATCTGTTTTACAACCCTTACTTTTGCCAGAAAGAAAAGGTAAGAGAAACATGCTATCTTCTATATTATAAACACAGCTGTATAGGAAATAGTTGCAATTGGGTCCAGGCCTTGTTGTTTTTCTATTAAAATGAAAGGTAATTTCTAAGATTGAGCAGAGAAAACAAAATGTATATGACAACCTTACCGAAATTCTTCACTGGGTAATTCTGAACGCAGTGCAATCCACCAGTTGCTACTTTTTTTCGAAATCTGTAAAATATATCCATTTAAAAAGTATTATGTGGATTTCTTTCTTGGCATGTTTTTAAATGGCTTATGTGTCATGTATGCCAACTACTGTGTTTAGACAAGAATGATAAAAAAATTGAAAAACAACAACAATTATGAATTACTGACAGCAAAATATGCATGTCTACTCAGAAATAAATTCCACTGAGTTCAGTGTGGCTTATTCCCAGGTAAATCTGAATAACTGAAGCCTAAATGTGAAGTTAGGTCACAAAATATATGAGATCAGTTTATCTCATATATTTGTATGTTATTTACCATTCACTTCATATTATATTAAGTGATTATGTATTGATATGACATCTGTGGATGGTAATTCAGAAGTATTATAGTTTGTGTGGTTATTGGTTTTTTATTGATGTTTACGGATAATTCCTATTAACCTGGTTTTAACTTTTTGTTAGCTGCCCAGAGTCTTTGAGGAATGGGGTGGATTATAAATACCATTAAATAAGTAAATAGAATAATATATTCAGTAGTTCTTATTGCTTAATGATTACATGAAGGTAATTTATAAGTACATGATAGTACCCAAAATTGCAAAAACTACTACATGTTGTTGAGCAAAAACACAAAGAATTGAAACTAAGGTGAAATCCTTCCTAAAAACACAATGGGGCTGTTATCTTCAGATAAACATGGTCTATTGCAAGAAACAGTATTTAATACTTTATTCATTTTGAAATGTATATCCTGCCAAACATTCTTTGAAAGGTATTATTACCATAATGATTTGCTGATCTGCATTTAAAAAGCAATCAAACAAAATACAACACAATAGCAAAAGGATAAACAGAATAGCAACCTGATTTAATTAGGGAATCCTCCTCCTTCCTTAATGCTCTGCTGAAACAAAAGAATTTCACTAACTTTCAGGAGGTAAAAATGTAAAAATAGATGAACATACAAGTATAGAAAGGGAGAAGGCTCCTGCACCTTTAATACTTTTGCAGAAGAAAAAATTGGAGCAGGTGTATTTAATTATTCACACATAAAAAAGCTACAACTGCTGAAATTCCCTTTTCTGCAGATTTATTCAAAATGTAGGAGGTCCTGCCTTTTTTTATATCTGCCACCCCAGCTAAAAGGAGGGACGTTTTTATGGTCACAATAGTGCAGTGGCAGAAAAGGTTCAGATTCTTACTGATATCTATCTCATCTCTGATAAAGATAGAAATCAATGTTTTGAAAGGATCCTGAAAATAGTAAAGCCAAAAAGAACTATCAAGGTAGCCTAAGCTGATGATTCAAAGCTATAAATAGCAATATCTAGAAAAGCGCAAGAGTGAAAATGCTGCAACATTCATATGAATGGCCAGGATTAAGGTATTTTTAACTGCAGTGGCAATTTAACTTTAAAAAAATAGGTTGTAATCCAGACACACCACAGATAGCCTATGTCTTTGTGGAAAAAGAACGTCTTGGCATTTTGTACATGTAACAACTGACATCATTTCTCCATGGCCATCAGCTCTGCTTTTACTTTATCTAGATTGTATTGTGGCCTTTAACTTGGCTCGGTCTGAAGGAGCCACAAAACTGTATTTCACTAATTTGATGCTATTGTTAAATAGAAAAGGTGTTTCAAATTGTGTCTTATAATTATACAAGAAATTTAAAGACAGATTTCTATCTATCTATGAAAAGGAAGAAAAAAACTGATTGTGTTGTGAAAACCTAGGAAATAATTGTATAGGCATTACCTTTTTTATTCTGTTTTGAATAAATTCTTGTTCTTGAGCGGAATGTATGGTTGCTATATCCCCACGGAGCCAACCACACACAAACTGAAAACTGTCCCAGTTTGAGGGGCTGTCATATAAAAGGTATTCTGCTCCTTGATAATAAAACCATGGTAACTCTAAAAATTAAGTTAGATATAATCTATTGAATATGAGAACATTTCTATGGGTTACATATTTTTATTGCTACTGAACTGAACATCACAGACCAAATGCTCTACAAGATCCAACACTATCAAGCCTAATACTGTAGATGGATGGATACTAAACTACATTTGACTTATCCTTGAAAGTTAAAAGATTTAAATTTTAAAGAACTAGACATGTTCAACAGATCATTATCATTCCATTAATGCTTCATACACTGTAAGTATTCCTTAGAATAGAAGGGAAACTGGCTCTCCAGATAATACTAAGATTCAATTCCCATAATGTCTAATCCATGATGAGCAGGGCTGTGGGACACTGGAGCCCAACAACATCTGGTATGCCATACAGTTCCCATTCCTTTCTTATAACTATTACCCATAACTGACTCCAACAGATCCATTTTTTATTATAAAGAGCAATAAGAATCACAATGACATGTTAATTGTGCTTGTATTCCATAAATACTAAGGCGGAAATTATTCACATACTTAATTTTCTCCCACTGAAATCTATGGGATTTAAATATGGTTGGTTTAGTCCTAACTATATTTTACACTGAAATCAGAGCATTGTATCTTTGAGTGGATCCTAATACGCAGAAACAATTGCAGATTCTCTGGTATATGTTCAGATTATGACACTGACAAATTACTTAACTAGCCACTTTTAGATGAATTGCTCAATGGTGCATTCTGAGAATATATACAATTAAATATTATCTTTCTCACAGTGAAAGATTTCAGTGGAAAAAAATTAAGCATATTAATAACTTCTGCATTAATATCAATGGAACACAAGTACAGTTAACAGGTCATTGTGATTCTGCTTGCTCTTTATAATGAAATATATTGAGCTACAATTCCTCATACTAATCTTGTGATAGCCTGTCTCCCTTTCTTTGCCCCATCTGTTTCCTTCTTCCATGACTAACTGCCAGTTTTGTTTGTATATGTTGACCTGTAAAGTACCAGGCACATAAACAAGTTCATCATGTCCACTGTGCTGCTAAAATACGTCAAGGATTATAATGTTCTCGACCTTTTATTACACCTCCCTCAACATTGCCAATCAAACATAGGAACCCAAAGGAGAGTGTGTCTTCAGTGCCTGGAAGAGACAGTCAGTGAAAGGAAGAGTCAATTACTCTCAGATGCTCCACACCCACCACACCCACCAGCAGTGCACATTTGGGCTCGATGCAGAGAAACAACCTGTGACCCAAGCACTACAAGATCACACTGTAGAAATTTAGCAGCAAATTGGCCAATATTCAACAGTGCTATTTTTGCCTTTTTTTTTTTTGTGGTGATGGTGGGGTGGAGAGGGTTTAAGGGATTTTAATGAGAGTAGGAAGCTTCTGGCAGGCAAAGAGTCTCATTCTTACAATCCAGCAAAAGCACCTAAAACAACAGAAAAGTGGGGAGAATCACCTCTGTCCATTTTAGTCACAGAACTGATTTACTAGGAAGCTTCCAATCACGCTATAGCATCAGAGGAAGCTGCCCACTGCTTAGGGTGAAATGGCCATTATCATTTTGAAATCATGATTTATACTTTAGCTACTAGGCCTCCTTAACCCTCCCTCCCTCCCTTTTCATTTTTGTATCATTTGACTGAAACAATTGCAATTTACTGAAAATGCGATACAGGTCTATCCAAGCAGTGTTTACTGCTTTTTTCAACAAACCTTTAGTAGATCTACCAATCTTCTTGAGCAACTCTTTGGAGGACATGCAGGGAAGAAGAATAGGCAAAAGTCACTTCTTCCCTTCCCCTATAAGTAAAACTATTCTTATTGGAAATTTGAATCAACTACATAATTTAATGGCAAAATGCGGGTAGAAAAGCTAAGAACAAAAGCAAACCACCATGAAAGAAAAAATAGTTGTTAAAAGAAGCCCTTAATATTTTTCTGTTCGAAGCATTTTTCCTAGCGTTACTGCTTGCCCGAAAGATCTGTCTACAAGTGCACCTGTATGCCACCAACTAGTGTTTTGAGTTGAATTAAGTATCGTGTGTGGATAAGGATGCACTTCTAGTAGAAATGCTGTTCTGTTTGCTGTGATTACTAGGTCCTTTCTATAATATGAGAAGCTTTTTGTTTTGTTTTGAAATGAAATCTAATGAGTAATCTACAGGAAATCTGCCTGTCTTGATGAAAAAAATAGAAGATACTTCTTGTACATAATTATATATACATTTAATCATACTGTTTTCAGTACGTAAAAAAAAACTGTTTTGCCCCATACCATTAATATACCATTGTGGAGTCTTGGGTTTCACACCTGAAACAGAAATAATGTTTTGGTTTAAAGAATATCATGCAGATTTTTTTCTTTTCTTTTCGTTTCTTTTCTTTTCTTTTTCTTTTCTTTTTTTTTGCCACTATAAAAGTATGATTTAACTATATTCTGGTTTGGTGTCTTTTTTCCTGATATTCATTACTAAATGTTCATTAGTATAAGACATTCTAAAGTAATAAGTAAAATACACAGGTACTAATTTAATAAAAGCTCATAGTCTATGGTTATTAAGAGTAAAGAAGCATCCAACTGATAACTTTCCTTCAACCTGGATTACCTATGAACAAATGGAGTGTCCTATATTGGATCAAGCCATAGACCCAGGTAGCAGATTCCTTCTACAATACCCATTTTGCCTAACCCAGAGGGCTGGTAAGGTAATCCTGACCACAGCTCTCAAGGGAATCCAAGAGTAGTCTCTCTCATCCCCCAATTCCTGAATCCTTCTTTTTAACTTGAGATACAGGTAGTCCTTGCTTACCCACCACTCGTTCAGTGATCATCTGAAGTTATGACAGTGTTGAAAAAGGAGACTTATGACAGGTTCTTGAATTGCAGCTGTCACCATGGTCCCCATGGTCACATGATTGTGACTTGGGCGCTTTGCAACTGGCGGGCATTTATGACCACTGCAGTGTCCCGTGGTCACGTTTGCCATTTGAGACCTTCACAGCTGGCTTCTGACAAGCAAAGTCAATGGAGAAGCTGGCAGGAAGTTGCAAGTCATGGTCACATGATGTTGCACTTAATGACTGTGCATGATTCACTTAATGACTGCAGCTGGAACTGATGTCATAAGTTGATGCAGTCATGTGACATCATACTTAATGACTGCTCCACTTAGCAATGGCGTTGCCAGTTCCAATTGTGGTTGATAAGTGTGGACTACCTGTACTGATAATTGAATCTGAGATTTTCTTCGTGCAAGCAGAGTACCTCTGCTACTGAGTACTGCTTCTCATCTTAATGAAACAGTAACTATCACTTTGGGAACCACATATTGCAAAATATTGTTCAAATGCTTCCTTACCTTTTGGTATTTGGCATATCCATTCACGTTCTGAATTGCAATGCAGTGGCAAAATGGTTCCATTAGCTTTGTATGCTGCACAGTTTCTCACATTATCTTCAACAGAAGCTTTCTCTAAAAAGGCAGATGAAACCTGCCACAGAAATATGTGTTAAATTTGAAGCATGATTCAGAGACTAACTTTAATATATTAGAAAATAAAAGGCTTTGATTTAGTGTTTGTTCCCCCTTTAGCAAGTTTATTTATGGCAAAGGAAATTCCTAATTTTTTTCTTACCAGCTTCATTCTGACTTTGACATTTCAAAGTCTGTTTGAATATCTTTGAAGATGCTGACCAGGAACATCTATTAGACATAATATATCTGTTTGGTTGTGGCTTAGTATGTTATGTGAACCCATTCACACAACATAGCAAGGTCTATGGCATAGCATGTCGTGAGAACCTAACCTAACCAGTTGTGGCTTGTTCAATATCCCATAGTTAAAGAAAACATGGCTCATTGAAATACACACACCTGGTCATAGAATGAATACTTAGCACAAATTGAAGATTTTTATTGGTAAAAAGTGTGTATGTACGAATAATGATAAGAATCCCCAGTGGTGGCTTTTCTTCAGTCAGAAGCACTTCCAGAGAATGCTTCCAATTTTAATGACTCCTTTCTGTCTGTCACACCTTTCTGTATCATAGCTCATCATCTAGAACCCTGAGAAGTGTGAGTGTATATATGTGTGTGTGGAGGGGTGTTCAGGAGAGATCAACACAAGTTCCTCTGTCCTATTGTAACAAAGGAAATGCCACTTAAGTAGTTTAATTTGAGTGAAAGGTTTAGTGATCTACAATCAATTAAATATAGAAAATCTCAATGAAAAAGTACACACTCACACAGGCCAGTGAAATGACAAGGCTTCTGAAATGTACAAGCTAATTTGGTAGAGAGCAACTTATATTCCTTATCCTAATTCTGACCTTGATATCTGGTATCATCTTATTAGTAGAACTCAAAGACAGACAGCTATAAAATTAGAATTGTTACAGTCACAGATTTCTTCTTCGATTCTTAGACAGGAAGTCCTCTGGAAAGCGACTGAAAAACTGTTAAAGATATTGGGAGTATCCAGTATCCAGTTCCAGATACTGGGAGTGTTATCTACCCTATGTAAATTTGCTTCAGGAACATATCATCCTGAGGTGAATTTACATAGATAAAATAAAACTATTTGACACCATTATATTTACAAGTTGGGAGAGATTATATGCTGATAAGTATCACCTGAAAAAGAACTATTAAACAAATATTAGATTAGGAAGGGAATAAAAGGGGCAGCCACGCTGAAGTCATTTAAGCTATGTGAAATGGACAATTCAGTTCCTTTTTATTTGTTTATCATTCAGGTAGACCCATTAAGCAATTACTTTATAAGCCTTGAAGCAGAAATATGTTAATGCATTAGGGATTTGATTGTCTGAATGCTGTGCCATGCTAAAACTTTGGTATCTTTTGTATGTACTATTTTTTTTCCTGTTAAAATTGTACTAGATTTTGTAGTTTTTTAAAAAGCAAACAGACACTTTTTGCTTCAGGGAATTATTTCAAGAAAAAATACTGTGCATTTAAGATCCCAAGAATACATTACGTCTATAAGGAAGTTTGACAATATACTTCAAAAACACTACATTGTTCTGTAATTCTTAAAACTAGTAAGTTAACTGAAACAAGACACGCAAAGTCATTTTTACAAATTACAGAACAATCATTCACACTAGCTGCATGAGAGAAAGCCGCTAAGGCAAATTGGACACAACCCAGTTTCTTGTCTACATTGCTAACTTTGTAAGATAATGAGTAAAAAAAAAAAAAAAAGAATATTTACAGGAGTTCCATCAGACCATTCCCAGGATCCTTTAGATAATGGATTCCTTTTGTTAAATCCAATCCAGAATTGTCTTTCATCATCACTGTGATTAAAAAGAGACAAACCCCATTACATAAATGCAAACTATATTTATCTATTTTATCTTGATTTATCTTCCACCCTTCCAGTACTTATGCACACATTTTAATCTTTTCTTAAACCAGAACAGGTTGTATGTTAGGAGCTGTGTTGAAATGTTTGAGTCACCTCTTTCTGGGTTTTTGAAAAAATATGGCGAATACTGTAAGCAGCAAACCAGGATATGCAGAAATGTGTGCAAGAAAACAACTCTAGTGTTAGGACAGGCAGCTTCAGAAGGCTGCAGTTGAGACAGAAATCTTTAATGTTTTACCCTCCAGATATTATTATACTCCAAATCTTTCTTGTATATTCAAGTTGCTTTTCCAGACTTGTCTTTACAAGGTAAGAATCCATGCAACTTCTATCTTAAAATTTCATATGTGAATAAAATGGATTCCAAAAGAATCTTAACACAACAGAAGTACTGAGGATCAAAAAGGTCTAAGAAATACACTGTGGCATAATTATGTCAATTTTCTCACATGAATAAAGGAAAAAGAGAAAAAAACAACATCCTCTAAACAGGGTATAATGCCAAGACATGCAGAAAGCACTCACAATTTGATGCAAATGCTGCTGTCCTCCCTAATTACACATTATCATTACAGTGGAAATACCCTATTTGTGTTGGATTAAATATTAAAGTATATAAAGAAACTAGATCACATAATCCTTTTGTTTTTTCAGTTGTGGAAAAAAACCCTCATCCAATATTAAACACAAAGACTTACGTATGAAACATTGTGTTCAAAAGTTTGTTTAAAAAATCCTCTTCAAGGACTTGTGTAAAACTGGCAAGATGTGCTCCGAAATCTTTACACAAAGTTTCTGCTTCCTCCCAAGTTCTTTTCATTAATACTTTTTCACTATGAAATATCTGTGAAATAAGTTAAGCACTGAAAATATCAGTCTGAAAACACACTGCCAAGGCAAAATAATAATAACAGCAACAACAACAATAATTTGGCAAGGGGGAAGGGAGAGAATTTCCAACTTTATTTTATTATTTTTCCATCACAATTCCCCCCTTTCACTGCAGTTTCTAGCAGCAATTCATAGGAATAGCCAAAGGTCTTTTGGTTTCCTGCATAAAACTTTGGTGCAGAGGGAGCAAAAACAGGTAATTAGAAAGTAAAGGAGGATAAGGAAGAGGAGGAAAATGCCAGTTGGAAAAAAAGGGCCTTTTTGGCAAAAAGGGAGATATTGGGGAGCCAGCCACCAACCCAGTTGGTGAAGGAACTGAAGTATTGTGCAAACCATTCTGATGTAAGTGTGTTGTGGGCAGGGGAGAAAATAAAAAAGAAAACAAAATGGGCTGCTTTGGGGAAAGGGCTGACTGGGATATGCAAGCAGAGTGGGACAAGCGATTTCTGAAATAGATGCTGGCATTATAGCAAAGCAGAGTATAGAAGGCAGTACTGAGTGAGGTATTAAGGATGTGTGTGAAGTTGGGATTGCATGGGTCAAAGGAGTTTATAATTGCCCCAATATCTGTGAATGCAAGAGAGCCCAAAATGTAGACAGGAATGCCTGAACAGTTTCTTGTGCTAAAATCCAATCCCCATCCCCCCAAAGTTGCATATGGGAAGCATCTGACATAATTCAGGCAACCAATTCAATTCCCTCCTGAAGTTCACTTATAAATTTCTACCATTGTCCCTCTTGGCACAAGGTCAAGTTGCACTAGAGGCAGAAGTCCAGATATTGAAGTGGTCAAGCATGATGAGCAGTTAGTTGAGGCAGGTCAGGATGTGAAAAAGGAGTACAAGTCTCTCCTTTTGGGGAGAGGCTTAGAAGAGTTGGTTCTTAACTTGCACATTTCAGTTCAAAAGGTGATAGAAAGATCAAGTCCGTGCCTCCAGAGTCCCACTGAAGTGAAGCCTCAGATGATTCCAGCGACCAGTGTGATTTCCCACAGGAGTCAAAGGGTCCAGTCCATGCCTTCTTGCAGCTTTTGGGATCTTGTAGATGCAAAATGGATTTCTTCTTTGGCTCTCAGGTACAAAGGTACAGCGTTCTGTCCTGGTTACTGCACAAACACCACCTTTGGCTGCAAGGATCTGGTCTAAAACTAACCTATTCTGGAAACTATTTGCCTAGTGTATTTCTATGTGTAGGGAGCCAACTGCCTTGTAGCTGTATCACATGCGACTTGTTCTAAAATAAATTGAACACAAAGTTATGACGGTAATATTGCAGGCTGAGCTCATCTTATAAAATTCCATGCCATTTTATTGGAGGCAACCTGAAGCATGGGAATCCCTCCCCTGGCATGGATGGACATAGAGCCCTGGCCCAGCAGTCAGATGTTACCACATGCCTATGCTAGAGCGCTAGGTGGGGAGGCAAAAGGAGAACTCACATTCTTCCTTTCCTCCCAGCTTCCAGTGTGTTCCCTCTAGGCTTGTGCACCAACCCAGTGAATGAGCAGCAAACACCCGCCCAGTGTAACAACCTGGCTGGGGAAACAGGAATAATGTCTCCATGACATTGGGAGGCTCCTTCTTGGTGTTGCAATTGTTTAATTAAGGCAGCTTGAACACTTGGGACACTGATTACAAAAAATGGGAGCACTTGCCTTCAATGGGAAAGAAAAAAAAAGGAAACCAAATGGGGGAGAGAAAAAAAAATCAGTCTTACTTATAGTTTAGCCTCTAATACTTTAGCTGTTCCTTCTTTGATCCTTACCAGCATTTGGGTGGGAGTGTGCAGAAAGGGACATCAGCTTTTCCTGAGCACCTGAAGCCACTGGAGGACATTCTTTTACTTGAAAACTTGATGAAGATCTGGTCTTGGACTTGAAGTAGCTGCAAGGCTGGTCTGGAGCTGGTGTCAAGTATCCACTACATGGAGTGGTCCACAGTGAAATCATCTGGAGGGCACACATCAATCTGGGAAGCCATGAGGTGGGGATGTGAGAATTTTGGTCTGCTCATCAGGATCAATCGTGTGGTGTCTGACCTTTTGGACTGCTCATCCTGGAATAAAACATAAGCTTCCATCTCCCCTTTTGCCCCCTATGCCCGAGTTTGTGGGCAAAGGAGCAAACTGTGGAAGCAGGGCCTTAGGGGCCACTGGGCATCTATGGTAGCACCCAGCGCCTTCCTGATAGTGAGCACAGAGTGATGGGGCAAAGGAGGAGAGATAAAGCCCCAAGGAGACTTTTGCCAAAGAGGCATTCTTAGCAGGTCACCCTGAAGAGATTAGAGAACTTAGTAAATTCTATCAAAATAGAGTCATAGGAGAAGAGAGAATTGGGGGAAAGGCACAGAGGTCCTATTAAAAAAAACAGTGAGTGACTCAAGAAACAAAATGAGTAAAGAAAACTTTTGAAAAGCATTTAGGAGGCAAAGGACAGATTGGTTTGCTTTGGTCTCTTCTTTGCACCTAACAAAGGGTTCAGAGGGGGAAAGATGATGCAAGAGCTGAGATGCTGTTATTTCCAGCAGCATTATTATATTGAAGCTAGCACATCCTCCTTTGCAAGTTTAAATATGATAACCATGGTCCTGTGGCTGCAATAGAAGATATTTGTTTTTGGAAACTTTGGTTAAAGGTTATTCAGATTTGTATTGCCTATTGTTGTACTTGGTGGTGGCTTTTCCTTTTTGCTAGCTTAGTTCAATAGGAATTTATGGAGCAACTTGGGGCAGAGAGTGGGAAACGGAGATGAGCTTGTGCAAAAAGAGGTCCAAGAGAAAACATGGAGAGGTGGGATGGGGTCTTCACCAGGAGCCTGAAAGAGCGGGTGGAGCAATCACAAAGAAATCAGCAAGGAAGGCGTAAATCAGAAGAGGAAAGTTAAGGAGAAAGAGCAGCCCTACATTTTCAGCTAGAGTATTAGCTATAGGGGCTGAGACTTAATAAAATCCAAGGTTATGGGGTGGAGGTTCCCAAAGTCTAAAAATATCCTTTGGAAAGAAATTTCATTTTCCTACTTGTATTCTGGAGAGCTGAGGGAAAGGGGAACGTACACACACACACAAACACAGAAGTTTGGGAGCAGAAATGAGCAGGAGGCCTCAAAGAACTCCCTGGGGTACTTAGAGGTGACTGTATCTCATGGTTCAGAAAGACAAACAAACAAAACACACATACAGGCACAGACATGCTTAAAAAAAACCCTGATATCTCTTGAGTCGTAAATAGTAAGCAGGGAGTATATCTAAAGGATCTAGGGGATTCTTGGAGAAGCAGGGAGTGGTTGGCAAAATCTTGGGAATGGAGGGATACAAAGGAACAGGTGGGGCAGATGGCTCAGAGGGTGCCCTCAGCTCAGCAACTTGTTCCTTTAACTTTTCATTTTGCTGCTTCAGGCTTTTGTTACTATTTTGCAAGTTGGAGATAGTTTGATTTTTTTTTTTTAGTAGTCCCCTCTTTTTGGGCGGGGGGGGGAAGAACGAGAGAAAAAAGAGAAAGAAAGAGCTGCTCCACACCCTTGCTTTCTAAGAAATCCACTTGGGAAATCCTAGGTGTGGCTGCACAGAGCAGCAAAAAGGAGACAAGAAATGAGCTCACAAATAACACACAGAGTCACAAACAACATGTACACATACAACTGTGGACAACCTGGATCCAACTACTCTACTTAGGCCCAGGGAGGCGCCATGGCTGGGCTCACCCTCACGATGCTGGCTGGCTTTTGCTTATTCCCAAACCCTTCTCTCTTGCTCCTGCCGTACCCTGCTTTGGAAGAGGAATTGGCAGAGCCGTTTGGAACCCTGGCACCATCCTCTGGCCCCTGTCTGAGTCCCACTTGGAAGGGGAGAGACAGGTCCAGCAACTGCCACCTAAACCGTGTACACAACCTACTGGTGCACAAAAGTACCCTGATGGCAACTTAAACCATCCGCAAATCTTATCTACCAGTGCTGTCCTGGCAGTCTTTTGACTTTCTCCTCAGGGGCTGATCCAGGCGCCACTCTGGGGAGTGCTGACCCAAGGGAGGAAGAGACGCAAAGGATCCTGTGGGTACCCGGTCTCAACTGTAGCCAGAACTCACCAGAGCAGATCACCGGATCCCACTGCTGACACCAAAACTGTCATGGAATATTTGCCAAGGACAAGAGCACAACGCTGAGGAGAAGAACCTTGTTTATTGCAATGATCATTAGGTGCCTGCTTTCCAAGAAAGAGAGACCCCGAACAATAGAAAGGCAGAGATTCTTATACACTTTGGGGTTGAGAGGTGGGAGATCCTTGGGATCTGATTGGTGGGCAAGTCTTGGATAGCTATTAAACAGGGGGCAAGTGTTTTTTTTATAGTGAAACAAAAACCGCATTTTTGAACAAGACAGCCTGAGTCAAAGAATCCATTGTCAAGGAGAATGGAAGGTTAAGAAAAGCAGGCACTCGAGCTTAATAAGAAGAGAATTCCTGCTGTTTCTCATCAGGTCAGCAAAGGCTTCCTCACTGGGGCTGCCCCCCCTCCACAAATCCTTAGGCAGACAGGTGATGGCCCTCTCATTGTTTTAGTGTGATAGTGCTAAGAGGGCTATTTCAGCAGCAGAAACATGGTCATCCTTGGGTCATGCCATAGCCTGGGGCTGGTCCTGTTTTACATGTGCAAGTGGGGGGGGGGGGGAGAAACGGCAGAAGGAAATGGGGGAAAGAGTTTGCAGCAGGAGAGGCATGGGGAGGGAGGAGAGTTCCCAACTGTATCTTATTATTTTTCCATCACAATAATAATATTATTGCAACTATACCTTTAACCCCATCAAATAACAACATTTGCCTATCCCAGGTCCTTGGGAAGGACTCGATAGGTGGATAGAAATGCCAACTTCAGTCTAAACGTCTGGTTGACTGTGTAACCAACCACAATAATAATAATGTGGTAGCTGATGCAGTCCAACAGCATCTAGTTGAAAACAAGCTCTTTCCATCTGAGCAGAAAGGAAACTGCCCAAACAGCAGAGGAACAAAACTGGTTGACTGTGTAACCAACCACAATAATAATAATGTGGTAGCTGATGCAGTCCAACAGCATCTAGTTGAAAACAAGCTCTTTCCATCTGAGCAGAAAGGAAACTGCCCAAACAGCAGAGGAACAAAAGATCAGCTCCTAATTGACAAGATGATTTTGGAAAACTGCAAGAGAAGGAAGACCAACTTGAATGTAGCTTGGATTGATTACAAGAATAATCTCTGCCACATGATTGGATAATCAAGTGCCTAGAAATAACAGAAGTCAGTAGAAACATCAGAAGCTTTGCGCAAAGATCAATGGCACAATGCAAGATACAGTTGCCTGGTCAATGGTGATGAACTGGGAGAGGTTAATATCAAGAGGGGAATCTTTCAAGGAGACTCATTATCACCACTACTGTTTGTCATTGCATTGATTCCTCTGTCAACAATACTGAACAAGTC